CATGCGTCAGCCACACCCAGGACAGCGTTTCGTGGCCCATAGGGAGCCCCAGCGAAGGCCCCAGTGGCACCGCCAGCATGCGTCTCCCCCACCCAGTACGGCACGTCCCTCACGCGTTTCGTAGCCCCATAGGGAGCTCCACCGAAAGCGGCACCCACAACGCGTTACTCACAACTGCATATGGTTGGGTCCTTCGCCTAGATTATTTTCTTTTGGTTTTGAAGGATTTGAGCGTTCGCGCCTTTTCGGCTTTCCGACACTCGAAGCCAGCCCAAGAGGCCCCCAAGGCCACCCAAAAACTGCCCAAGAGGCCTCCAAGAGGGCCCCAAGATGGCCGAAGAGTGCCTCGAGACGGCCCAGGAGGCGCTCACGACGGCCCAAGAGGGCCCCAAGGCGGCCCAAAAAGGGGCCCAAGAGAGGGAACACGAACTGAAAATTCGAGCCGTGGGAAGCCCCAAGCGCCCAGGAGGCCCCAAGAGGCCCTCGGGAGACACCCAAGAGCCCCTAGAGGCCCCCAAGAGGCCCAAAAGAAGCCCCCAAGAGGCCTCCCAAAACGGCCCCCAAGAGGCCTCCCAACTGCCTCCAAGAGGCTCCCGAGAGGCCTCCCACGAGATTCCAACGAACATCCAATAGGCTTCACACCTACAAGCCAGGCACGGTGGCGGGGTGGCCGAAGGGCACTAGATCTATACACTAAAAAACTGTCCTCCAGCGCGCCGATGGGGTGAAATCGACAGTCAACGAGCTACAGACAGGCTGGACGCAGCCGACAGCGGCGCAATAGAGATCCGGCACGTGCGGTAAACACACACACACACACAACACGAACACACACACACACACACACACACACACACACATACACACAACACGAACACACACACACACACACACACACACACCTGTGTATATGCATACATACATACATACATACATACATACATACATACATACATACATACATACATACATACATACATATATGCATACATACATGTATGCATACATATATACATACATGCATGCATGCATGCATAAATGCATGCATGCATGTATGCATGCATACTTGCATGCATGCACGCATACATGTATACATACATACATACATGCATACATGCATATATACATACATACATACATACATACATACATACATACATGCATACATACATACATACATACATACATGCATGCATGCATGCATGCATGCATACATACATGCATGCATACATACATACATACATGCATGCATACATGCATGCATACATACATACATGCATGCATACATACATACATACATACATACATACATTTATACATACATACATACATACATACATACATACATACATACATACATACATACATACATACATACATACATACATACATACATACATACATACATACATACATACATACATACATACATACATACATACATACATACATACATACACATACATACATACATACATACATACATACATACATACATACATACATACATACATACATGCATGCATGCATGCATGCATGCATGCATACATACATACGTACATACATACATGCATGCATACATACATGCATGCATGTATGCGTGCATACATACGTGCATACTAGAACCATCGCGCGCGCTTCGCGCGCGCTCAAGTTCTAGCCCAGGCCGGGGGGGCGCTGGAAGATCTTGGACAGCGCTATCAAGCACAGGCGCGTGACATAGTCGTGCCTCCTGAGGGCCTCTTGGCGACCTCCTGGGTCTTCGTGGGGGCATCTGAAGGGCTTCTGGGGGGTTCTCCGTGCTTCCTCAATTAACTAGCTGTTGGAAACACCTCTTGGGTGCTTCTTGGGGGGGCGTTTTGGGGCTTCTTAGGATCCCTTGGGAGCATCGTCGGGATTCTCCGGGCAGTCGGAAAGTGATGTTCTGCAATCTGAAGCCGTCATTGGCCGTCTTGGCTGCGTGGGGGCCCGACTTGAGGGCGCCTGGGGCCACGGTGAGGCAATCTGGAAACGTTTTGGGGGCCTCCTGCAGACAATTTTGATGCGTCGAGGGCGCCGTTGCGCAATCTTGGGGCCCCTTGTACGTCTCCTTGGGGCCTTTTGGGGCCACTTGGGAGGCTCATAGGGGCCTCGTCGGACCACTTGGGGACTCTTGGGGCCTTCTCTGGGCCTCTTAGGGCGGAAGACTCTGCCGTTGGGTTCGCGTTCCCATTCTTGGGCCTCTCTTGGGACCGTCTTGGGGCCTTCTCGGGCCGTCTTGAGCGCCTCAAGTACCGTCTCGGGGCCTCGTGGGCCGTCTTGGGGCCGTCATAGAGGTCTCTTCGGCTATCGTGGAGCGGTCTTGGGAACCTCTTGGGCCGTTTTGGAGCGTCGGGATGCCAAAAGGCTGAAGCGCTAAAATGCACCAGCAATCGAAGGGAAATCCGTGATTTTGGCTTCTTGGGGCCATTTTGGGAGCGCGGGCCATCCGGAGGGCATCCTGGGCGTGTGAGAACGATAACTCCGCGATAGTAGGCCTCCTGGAGGCCTCTCGCATAGTAGGCCTCCTGGAGGCCTCTCGCAGCCTTTTTCATCTGCGTTGGGGCTATGTTGGGCGGTCTGGAAGCGCCCCTGGCGCCCCGACAACCCCATGGCGCGTCGGGTCCCCCCCGCCTCGGTCCATTGGGCCGTCCTGGGCTTCTCGTGGCCCGTCTTGGAGCTCTTCTGGGGGCCTCCTGGGCCGTCTTGGAAACCCCTTGGGCCGTCTCGGACGCGATGACAGCCCAACAGGCGAACATACGAAAAATATACGTTTCCCCACAGGAATGGGACGATTTTTGCTTCTTGGAGCTCTCTTGGGTTGCCTCTTAGAGCGTCTCGGGGTGCGCTTGGGAGCCTTCCGGGCGCTTCTTGGGGGCTTCTCGGCGCCTCCTGGAGGGGTCGAAAGCTTGGAATTCGATGGCGGCTTTCCTCCTCTGGGGCCCTCTCGGGCCCGTCTTGGGGACTCTCTTAGGCCGTCTTGGGCCCTTCGTGGGCCGTCCTGGAGCTTTCTGGGGCTGTATTGGGGCCCTCTGGGGCGCGTCCTGGGCCGTATTGGGGCGGTCTTGGGAGCTTCTGAGGTCGTCAAGCACGGACCGACAGCGAAAACAAGCAATATGCTAAAAATATACGTTTTACGAAGGGAATGGGGCTATTTGGGCCCCTTGGGGCTCTCTTTGGGGCCCTATTGGGGTTCGCTTGGGGTGTCTTGGGGGCTTCTGAAGCCGCCTTGGAGGCCATGTTGGGCGTCTGGGAGCCACCTTCGGGCGTCCCGGGTCTGTTCTGGAGCCTCTTGGGGCCTCCTTGGTGCCTTCTGGCGGTCTTCTGCGAGGCCCCGGGGCTCCCCGAGGGCCCTGGAGCCTACATGTGCGGTAGCGGCGCCGGCCCCGGGCCGGGCGCCCCGACCCGGTGCGCCGTTATATGTACACATACGCACATACGTGCATGCATGCATGCACACTCACACATACACACACACACACACACATACACATACCTATATACATACATACATACATACATACATACATACATACATACATACATACATACATACATACATACATACATACAGGCAGACAGACAGACAGACACAGACACAGACACAGACACAGACACAGACACAGACACAGACACAGACACAGACACAGACAGACAGGCAGACAGACAGACAGACAGACAGACAGACATACATACATACGTACATACGTACATACGTACATACGTACATACGTACATACGTACATATGTACATACATACATACATACATACATACATACATACATACACACCTACACACATGCATGCATGCATACGTACATTACATTACATTACATTACATTACATTACATTACATTACATTACATTACATTACATTACACTACATTACATTACAGTGCAGTACATTACATTACATTATATTACAGTGCATTGCATTGTATTACATTACATTACAAACACACATATGTATATATACATACATACATATATACATACATACATACAGACAGACAGACAGACAGGCAGAGAGACAGACATACATACATGACATACATACATTCATACATACATGCATGCATGCATGCATACATACATACATACACCTATTACATTACATACATGCATGTATATGCATGCATACATACATATAGGCATACATACATGCATACGTACATACATACACAAATACATACGTACATACATACATACATGCATGCACACAGATACATGCATACATACATGCATGCATACATACATACATTACATTACATTACGATACATTACAATACATAACATAACATAACATTACATTACGTTACATTACATTGCATTACATTACATTGCATTACACTACTACATACATACGTGCGTACATACATTCGTTCATAGATTCTACACACATAACTATATACATAGATACATACATACATGCATAGATACATACATACATACATACATATGTACATACATACATACATACATGCATACATACATGCATACATACGTGCATGCGTACATACGAACATACGGACATACGTACATACGTACATACGTACATACGTACATACGTACATACGTACATACGTACATACACATACATACATACAGACAGACATACATACATACAGATAGACAGACAGACAGACAAACAGACAGACAGACAAACAAGCAGACACACATATAGATATATATATATATGCATACAGACGCGTGCGCTCCAAGTCATATATACATATATACGGAAACACACTGACACACAGACATGGCGACACGGAACCTCGCAAACATTGAGGCACAGAGGCACACAGACACCAGAATGCAGCCCACCGCTGAGGCGGATATGTGCGACAGCGCAACAGGGTACAGACACACAGACACGCAGGGGAGCAAGAATACAGACACAGCGCGAAGAGAGTGCGTGCGAGACCCCAGAAGGAGAGAACGATGAGCGCACGAGTGTGACGGGAGGAAAGAAAGGAACCCGAGGATGCCGGTCGCCGTCTCAAACAGCGCCTTTGCAGCTGGCACCTCGTCGGTCAGCTCCTGCCAAGGAGCAATCTTAACAGAGCATGCCATGCTGTGCCGTCCTCATGCCGTGGACAGATAGCAACTCAGTTCGAGGCTGCGCCCGCGGAGCGCCATCAGCAGCACCGCCTGCAACGTGCGCCAGTGCCTGAGATCGCCCCGGCACACGTCGAATAGCCGTCTCGAGGCCCGTACAGCGATGCTGACTCGGGCAGCCGAGCGCATGCTTGCTGCACGGCACGCGACCCGACTCGGCAGAGCAGCGCGAGCCTCGCAGCTGCCTGTCCGAACTGAAACCCCGACCGACAGCTGAGCAGCCCTGGCCACGCAAGCCTGATACAAGGGAACAGCGCCTCACCTGTGGGACGCACAAGGACATACTAATACTGTACGTCCTCCTCTGGACCGTGCATCCGACCCGAACACATAGTGTAATAAGCTTGCAGTCTATCGTTTCCCGAGCGGTACGGCCATAAAGCCCCCGCCACGACGCATGTACTATAAGATAAATCGGTCCGCGCAACGCCCCTGGGGGGGCACACACATATAGTACTAGTATGTTGGGGTGCCGCCGACATCAGTGCAATAAAAACACACGAACAGAAGCAGGGCAGGGCTCCTGCAAGATGGGTCGAATGCGCTATGGCGTGGCAGATCGAATGAGATCCACACAACATCCCGCAACGGCCGTTGTCTCCGTGACGTGCTGGTCGCCCAGGGGCCAGTGCACGTCAGTAACTGTTGCAAGAGCCCCCACCACACGCACACGCCACTACAAAAAATGTATATATCCATCTACCCTTCTTTATTTCAGGTAAGCGCCCTTACTCAGGTTGCTTGGTGAGATGACAAATCCGTTCACTCGTAAGACTTTCGGCATACTTGCACTGCGCACTCCAAGAAACGGAGTTCCATATAAAAGGCAGATTTGGCATCGACGACAAATTCAGAATGGCACCCTATCAACCTTCTCTCTGGGCGTTGCCTTTCCCCCGTGTGTGCTATGAGCTGCACGCCCAAAGCCCCTCCGACATCAGGCACATCACCACCACTCGAAAAAGACTGCAACGCCACCGCAGTGGCGAGGTGCTCCTGGACGACGTGCTCCCCAGAGTGCCTCCACAGCCCTGGGCCGCAGCTGCATGATGCACCAACTCATCTGCGCCCGTGCTCCACTCCCGGGCCCTCCACCTCGCCTCCTCGTTTATCAGCGCCCCTCAAACGGGGACTCCACTAAGGGGTACTTTGGCCAGTGACCCAGCGAACCCAACCCCTCCCGATGTGGGCAAAACTGCAATGCCAGAAAAAGGCCCTAAAGTGGCAGCTTTCGGCAAACATTCAAAGTACCCGTTAGTGAGTACCCGTTACGGTGCCGTTGAGTTTAGACCTGCCGGGAACCCGACCTGCCACCTCGGCCCCCGCGCGTGCTCCGGGCCCCGCCACGCTGACGGCCACCGAGCGAGGCAGAGCGGCAGCGGCCAGCCTCGGGGCCTCGGGGAGCGCGCGGCTGACGAAACGGCCAGTGTGGAAGGGCGAGCCACGGAGGCCAATGCTTCACCAGCACAGCCACCAGGCCCAACCCGCTTGACGAGAGCGCAAAGCCTTGAAGCACTCTCCGCTGCACTGGTCCCGACCCGAGGGGGGGGCGTCCCTGCCGCCAGCAGCGACGTAGGCAAGGACTACGGCGATGCTGGGCGGCCAACGCCGAAAATGCTGACAGCAGCGCCGGTGGGCGCAGCGATGCCCTCATTGATATACTCCGGCGGCCGAGGGAGGAGGGAGAGGAGGACAGTGCTGCGTCCACCGGAGCTGGCACCTGCTGCCGCCGCGACCTGCAACCGAGGGCGCGGCGGTGAAGACAGTCAACCCGTATCGGAAAGGTGCACGGTAAGGATGCAAAGGCCTTGGAGGCCAATGTTAACGTTTTTCGAACGAGGCTGGCCAGCGAAGGGGGCTAAGCATGGGCCGAAGGGGCAAGGATGCAAGGGTACCCTTGGGAAAGTTGCCCATCCTTACTGTGCGGGTTGACTCCAGCGCACGCACGACAAGCCGCGACGCGCTCCTTGGCCATGCCCACGGTCTGCGCGCCCTGGCCAGGGAAGAGGAACGCCACCTTCACGGCGCGGGCCGAGCTTGCAGGACTGCGCTCGGCTCCGTCCCCGCCTCCTCTTTCTCTCTTGCTCCCAGGCCTCCTCGTTATCCTGCTCCCCCCCTGGCCCCCCACCACCACCACATGCTGTCACTCCTGTTCCCCCATACTTCTCATCCTCCACCATTGTTGACCCGCTGGCGACGACTGATCCGATGCCGCGAGGATACGAAGTTGAGCTACCTCACGTGGGCACACCGCGCGCGCGCACACCTCGAAATACAAACCCTGCGAAAGCCCCTTCGCCGAGAGACCGTCCTTTGCCCACTCTCGCGCACGCACGCGCACTCACGGCCGCCGCGCGCGCAGCAGCACGCAGCACGCAGCACCTGTTCTGGCCCCAACGGGCCCGACCGCTGAGCCCCGCGCGCGCCAGGCTTTCGGCGGGGCGCCAGGTCCGCCGCGCGCTCTGGACCCGGGTGCTGCTAGCAGGGGGGAGGAGGAGGAGGAGGAGGAGGAGGAGGAGGAGGAGGAGGAGGAGGAGGAGGAGGAGGAGGAGGAGGAGAGGAGGAGGAGGAGGAGGAGGAGGGAGGGAGGGAGGAGGAGGAGGAGGAGGAGGAGGAGGAGGAGGAGGAGGAGGAGGAGCGAGGAGGAGGAGGAGCGAGGAGCGAGGAGGAGGAGGAGCGAGGAGCGAGGAGGAGGAGGAGGAGGAGGAGCGAGGAGGAGGAGGAGGAGGAGCGAGGAGAAGAGGCCCAGGGTGCCCCCCAGGACTTCCCAGGAGGCCTCCACGCCCTCCCGCCAGAGCACCCCTACCACGAGGCACGGAGGGACCCGGGAGCTCCCCAGCTGGAGCGAGAGCCTGGGGGGCACCTCTGGCCAGAGGCACCTGTGGCAAGCCCCCACTGGCAGAAGCCCGCGGGCAAGGGCTGGGGGCGGCCAAGAGGGGGGCGTCCAAGAGGGGGGCGCGCAGGTCGTGGCCGGAGGCGTGTGCGCGGCCCAGGGGGGGGGGCGCCGGGGGCGCATCGAAACAAGGCAAGGCGCCATGAACTCTGGGGAGCTATCATGGCCCCCGCCATGAGATCCACACACCCCTAGTCATCACCCCCCTCGTGGCCGCCTCCCAAGGGCACGGGAACCGCTCGCGCCCCGGGACTCCCCCGTGCCGGCAGCCACGGGCCAAAGAAAGAGGGGGGAAAACCGGCGCCGGATCCTGCCCCCGCCCTGCTCCTGCAGCCGTGCCCGCTGTGCTGCGGTGCCTGCCCTGTGCTTTCCCGTGGCCGCGGCAGGCACCTTCGGGTGGCAACTCGTGGGAGCCTCCAATACCATCCTGTCGGCTCTTGCGAATGGACGCCAATCGGCACTAAATCGACGCCAGCCGACGCTAAATCGACGCTAGTCGACGCTAACCGACACTAAATCGGCGCTGTCTCGTCGACTCCCAGACTCTAATCGACGCTACTCGACGCTAAAGACGGATTTAAGAGTCGGAGGTGAGGGGGTGAGATCGAAGTGGAACGGAGAGCCCCCCTTCAGGGAAATCGATTTCGGTTTCGTGTCCGTGCGTGCCGTGCGGGCGAGGCGAAGCTGCGTGGGCGGGCGAGAGAAAGTCTCCTGTGGCTGAGGCGCGGCTGGACCAAATGTCTCCCTTCCGGGCGGCCGGGGGCCCGCGGTGTCCCGCCGGTGTCCCGCTGGTGTCCCGTGTGGCTGAGGCGCGGCCGGACCAAATGACTCCCTTCCGGGCGGCCGGGGGCCCGCGGTGTCCCGCCGGTGTCCCGTCGGTGCCCCGTCGGTGTCCCGATAATGATGATGTTGATGATGATCATGATGGTTGTGTTGATGGTGATGATGATGACGATGATGGTGTCCTGGTGATGATGATGATGATGATGATGATGATGATGTTGATGATGATGATGATGAGATGACGATGCTGTTGATGTTCTGCCCGTTGTTGTTGATGATGATGTTGGTAATGCTGATGCTGCTGATGAGTATGGTATCCCGATGATGATGATTATGACGGTGGTGATGATGATGGTGATGGTGATGGTGTACCGATGATGATATTGACGATGATGTTGGTGATGATGATGCTGCTGATGATGATGGTGTCCCGATGATGTTGATGATGTTGTTGATGATGATGATGATGATGATGATGATGATGATGATAATGAGCTGATGATGATGATGGTGTCCCGATGTCGTTGATGATGTTGACGATGACAACGATGGTGACCATGATGGTGTCCCGATGATGATGATGATGCTGATGGTGGTGATGACGATGGCTGTGTCCCGCTGGTGATGTTGATGATGTTGTTGAGGATGATGACGAGATGAGGATGATGTTGATGTTTCTGCCCGTTGTTGTTGATGATGTTGGTAATGATGATGCTGCTGATGATGATTATGGTATCCCGATGATGATGATTATGACGGTGGTGATGATGATGGTGATGGTGATGGTGATGGTGATGGTGTACCGATGATGATATTGATGATGATGTTGGTGACGATGATGCTGCTGATGATGATGTTGTCCCGATGATGTTGATGATGCTGTTGATTATGATGATGATTAAATGATGATGATGATGATGATGGTGCCCCGATGTTGTTGATGATGTTGACGATGACAATGATGGTGACCATGATGGTGTCCCGATGATGATGATGCTGATGGTGATGATGATGAAGGCTGTGTGCCGATGATGATAATGATGATGATGATGCTGAGCATGATGAGATGATGATGGGGATGATGATGATGGCCTGATGATTATGGCGTCGATGATGATGACGATGATGATGATGACGACAGTGTCCCGATGACGATGAAAATGATGGTGTTGGTGATGATGATGATGATGACGTTGAATGTTAGATCGATTGTGATATCGGTAGTGAGATCGATAGTGAGACCGAATGTGAGCTCGATTGTGAGATCGATAATCAGATCAAGTGTGAAACCGAGCGAATGAGATACATCGAGTGAGATCGATTGTGAGATCGATCGAGTGAGTTCGATCGAGCGAGACCGATAGTGAGATGGATAGTGAGACCGATCGAGTGAAACGCTGCATCCTCCCCCCCCCCGAACCTCCTTATCACCCGAAGGGTGGTCGTATAGGTATACCAGGCCCCCATGACTTGCTACAGAACTGCTCCTGCAGCCATGCCCACTGTGCTGCGGTACCTGCATGACCGCAACAGGCATCGCTGGAACGGGGAGGATATTCGGAAGCGCGTCGGGCCTTCGTCGTCGTCGCCGAATTCGTCGTCCTCCTCCTAATCATCCTCCCCCTCCTACTCCTCCTCCTCCTCATCCTCCTCCTCCTCTTCCTCCTCCTCCTCCTCCGCCTCCTCCTCCTCCTCCTCCCCCTCCTCCTCCTCCTCGTCTCGTCGCTGTCGTCGTCCTCGTCCTCGTCCTCCGAACCGCAGCGCGGGGCAGCGAGAGAAAGCGCGGCAACCTTGCCCGAGAAGTCACCTGCCCGGCAGGCTGCCCGGCTCCTCCTGGCGGGGGTGGGGGGACGGGGAACGACAAGCACGACAGAGGGAAGGGAGAGGACGAAGGAGCGAGGAAGGAGGAGCGAGGAGGGAGCAAAGGAGGAGGAGCGAGGAAGGAGGAGGGAAGAAGGAGGGAGGCGAAGGAGATGGGAAGCAGGAGGGACGGGCGATGCGCAAGGGAGAGGGAGGACAGGGAGGCAGTGGCAGGGAGGGTGGGTCGATTGACCTTGGCGGGATAGGCGCCAGCCTGATGTCGATGGCAAGACGAGAAGAAACAAGTCTTTTCCACATGCACATGCACAAAGTGTACCACAACCTGGACGCGTCCTGCGAACCAAACGGCGGCGGCAGGCGCTGCTTCCTCACTCACTGCATGCCGTACCTGATGCTATCTCCTGCATTTCGACTCTGGTAACATCTCCAAGTTGTCGCTAAGACTAGACAACTGCGTCCTAACATTTGAATACCAACACTGAAACAGATGATATCACTCTCTCAACTGTCCCAGTCTTCTTGAACCATTTTCTTGATTCTTAATCATTATGCCACCAAGAATACACATATCACAAAGAAACACCACGATATCGCCACGTGTGTAATTGTTCTCTCACAGTGATATTCCATCGACCCTTGTTGAGTGCTTCTACTAACGTGGATCTGCTTATACCTCCTTTTGTCAGAGCATCACATAGCATGTCCCTTGTGTCCACACGATGTAGTACAGATAGTCGTCGTGCTTCCAGATGCTCTCTCAAGGCCTGAATACCATACAACAACTGCCTCTCTGTAGGTGTCGATATTTCTCGCGCTGTCACCGCATCGTACAGTGAATGTGCGTCCAGGACTAGATGTAGTTCTCCATTGCAAGGACCAACCATTCTTGAATGCACCTCAACCGATGTTTGAGCGCCCTCCAACCATTCTATCAGGAACCCATTCAGCAACATGCCATACTCTGTAGACTCGATCGCATTATTGAGCTCAGCGCTGAACGTGCCCCGGTTGACTTTCACCTGCTTGCGCGAGAAATACTCCCAAACATGCAATCCTCCAGAAGGTGCTCCATCTCTTAATTCACATAACCCGATGATAGCTGCTCGCAGGGCTAGACAGTCAACATCGTCAGCCAGATACGCACTGTCCGCAATTACCGTGAGACATAACGGCGCTGTCATCTTGCCAAAGTGAATCGTGGCCGTAGCAGCTTGTTCAGGTCTTTCACGTTGGATACCGTCACATTATTCATACAGCGTTGTAGCTTGCCCACAAGCACTATGATATCTGCTCTCGTGAGAACCATCCAAGCTACGCCGCCTAGCAATGACATATATAAGCTTACCAACTCGTCATCTGCTTTGTCATAATCCTTCATGTCCTTGAACTTTTCCCTGGAAATGGCCTTCAACTGACTGACGTAATGACTTTGTTCCATAGTGCATTCCATAGTTTTCGGATCCTGAGTGTGTTTGATGCCCACGCATTCGAAGGGAGTCTCGATCAGTTCACATTTTCCATACTTGACCTCCAATCGCTGAAATAACTCCAATCTGGTATTTTCTTCACAGGCTCCTTTGAAGTCGTCCACGTGTGTCGCCAAAATTCCAAGTGGTATTTTATCCTTAACCGTATACTTCTTACCAGTGATGGGACAGCAACTGTCTCGCTCTGCAGCCTGTCTATGCTTCACGTACAGTTTCTTATCTGCTCGCAGCGGTGTCCATTGCGCTTCAATCATTGTCTCCGGCAATGCCATACCATGGCGCATCTTTCGTGCCGAAACCTGGCTTGCTCATGTCCAATACCTCTGATATTCCACTAAAATCATGAAAACCATCAATCTGACGAAGTAATACATTCGCTCCAGCCGGCAAGTCGCATTGAATGGATCTCAGCTTGGCCCCCGTTTCACTCGCGATTTGCTTGAACGTCTTCCCGCGCAGGAAGGCCATAGATATGTCCGTGGACCAAAGCTTCCATCCATAGAGCGCGGCCATTGAGCACACAGCTCGTTGTCCCCATCTTGATGCCGTACCTGCGAAAGTGGTCAGAGACTCTGCTTGTCTGTCTTTAAACCCACGCACCGTGAGTCTTGCCTTGATCTTTCGTACACCGCCAATGAGCTTCCATTTGAGAACCCATCGGCTGTCCACCAGATTCGTCGCACGTCGTCGTGGCATCCTTGAGAACATGCCCATGCTGCACCACCGTCGCAACTCCAGCACACATGCTTCAGCAACATCCCGTGCATACTTCTTGAGCTCGTCCTTCGCAAGGATATTCATCTCTCGTTCGATGACTGCCTCAACGTAACATCCAACTGCATCATATCGGTGAACAACCACATATCCTTCAAGAACTTCATCGCCACAACATTGAAACGCGGCATCCGCACTCATAGCCAACTCCAACGGTTCTCCAGGAATCGCATCATCGTTGACGCTGGTCGTCTCGAACATGTTGTCAGAAGAGATAATGTCTGGCCCTCGCGTAAGTTCACTCAATCCATGCCAGAAATCACTATCGCTCTCTATTTATTCACATTGTTCTTCCGGTGTTTCGTCATCCAGCTTCTGGGATACATGGGGTCCAGGATTGCCGCTTCCATCTGATCGTGGTGATAGCTCTCTTTTCAAGGTGGGTGCATCATCGTCGAGACGTCGAGCAAGATGAGGGGCTGGGCTACCACTGTCACCTGAATCGATTGATCGTGATCTCTTGATTCCATTCCATCTGTGGTTGATGTATCCCTCGTTGTGATCGAAAGTGTCATCCATACCCTCAACGTGTGATACTCCACGGGTTTGTCGTCGTGCTTGTCTGGCTTCTTCATCAGTGACCAACGCACACTGCATAAATGGTGTGTTGGGCCAACTATTGCCGAATAAATACTGCGTCGAAACTCGTTGGCTGCCTGGAATCTGAATCCATGACCAGTCTTCTCTGCGCCCAACATGCCACCACATGATGACTGCACCTTCGGTGCCGGGCACAGCCTCAATGTATTTGACGCCATGCCCTACTCGAATGCCGATGCAGCCCACAAGCTGAAGATGACACGCGGCCGTCGTGAACGCTGCTCGCATTGGTCCTGGAAACCGCTGGCCATCCTTACTGATCATCCAGCCATGCTTGCTAGAAAACACACATCCGAAGTACAAGGATCCTTGCTCGATGCTCTCTGCGAAATTCATGATATACTCAACAGGTGTCCTGGTTGACTCCTGCGCGTGCGGTTCCGTCATGAACGTCCATAGCACCACAGCTCTCCGCGCCTCGGGTAACCGTATTTGCACGTTGCGACTCTGCCAACGGACTCCGACCACCCCATCTCGCAGTCGAGTAATGTCGGCCACTACCGCAGGTCCTCGCCAGCCACTGAGATCCCTGTTGGGAAGATCTCGATATATGTCGACCTCGTCGCCGATCTTGAGTTCCAACAACTCTCCAGCTGGCCGGGTTCTTGAGTTCATCGTTCGACTTAGACGATCCGTGGCCGTGCCCTGAATGATGGCTGACATCGCAACTTCACGCAATCGACGCACATGTCGAGATACTCCATCTATTCCATCTTGACCGCCCGAAAGTGGAGTCTCTGATCCAGGTTCAAAATCTCGCAGTAGTGCCGGTGATCTCCCGTACAACGCCTTGCAGGGAGTGGTGCCATGAATACTGATGATGCTGTTCTTGGCCAGGGTCGCTCCATCCAGAATAGCCTGTGGTGGACCTGCGATGCCATCTCTTTCCATTTGCGAATTGCTCTTATGCACTGCGTCACGCAACAGTGCATTGTGTCGCTCCACAATTCTAGCATGTGACCCACGTGGTCGCAGGTTGAGTTGGATACCCCACCTGTCTGCCCACGCGGACGCAACGTCGCTGTCCAGAGCGCCCTCCTTGTCGCTGGTGAGTCGCTTCATGGGTCCGTAGAGCCGTAGCCACGCATGCGCGATACCATTCAGAATGTCCTGCGTGACTCGGCTCGCAATGATAAGAGCGGCGGACCGACGAATACGCGCATCCACAAGATGAAGGACTGTGTGTGTGCTCCAGAACAGCAAGTCCACCTCCACTTCGATATTAAAATCCGAGAGGACCTTTAGCTTCGCCATCGGCCTCACACCAACACTCTGCCACTGTCGACACACTGGGCATGTGTGTCTACGACTTGCGAGACCATGTCAATGGCTTCGCTTGGCGCACCTGCAGCTTTGAGAAGTTCCATCATCCGCGCCGTCGGTGCATGCCATAATCTAATGTGAAAATCCCGAATCGCCCTCCTGACCACCACTGGATCCATTGATTTAAATAGTCGCAGTGCTCGACCGGCTGACCAATCTGACCAATCGGCGCCTCCGGGATCTGCTTGAGTCCCTGCCTCTATCCGAGTTGCAGCTCGATTGCGTCGATCAGCTGCCAGTGGTCTGCCTGCGGGATGAGCTTCGGGAGGTGGCGGTGCAGATAATTCTTGTAGTGCTGCATCTTGTCCTGGTACCGCTGGTGCTCCTTCTTCACCTTCATCATCTGCATCTCCGTCTCGCTCACCCTCTGCTGCTGCTGGTGGCGCCGCTGGTTCAACCGGCTCGAGATCACGCAACCTACCTCCAGATCGCTCAGCACTGGAGGGATCGGGATCAGCTCGTCGAACTCTCGGTTGCCCGGGTAGAACTCCGCCGACTGCTGAACCACGAGAGGGAACCATCTGCCACCTGCACTTGTCGTCTCCTGTACGCATAGAGTGACCTCTCGGCTTTCCAGTGCGACACCCAGGACATTCTTCTCACAACGATTGTACTTGAGGGTACTTGCAGCTTCCTCGTCGAATGTGTCGGGGATCATGTGCCGAACGATTGTTGTGACAGGCGGGACAGTGTTCATTCGCACCTTCTGTCACATGTCTTTCCCGCGGCCTCGGAGTGCCAGGAGTCACAGGCACGCCCGTTGGAGTCGTCGATGCTGCTACTGGTACTGCTGCCGTCGACGAAGCCGCGGTAGGATTCGGCAAGATA